CTACGGAAATGGACTTCAAATCGTCTTGAGGTGCTTCAAGGTCTCAACGACGAACAGGTTAGAACGCAATACGCGCTCCACTTCAACCCCGATGAATCCATCAAGGCGTTGAGAATTATCTGGGAACATGAAGCTGATCTTCTCCGTTTTGATTCCCAAATTCGAATCAGCGATGAGCCTCCAACGAAGCGGTCCATCTTCTCCGATACCGCCAAACTTTTCGACCCTCTTGGACTCATCGCACTGGTAGTCGTTCGAGCGAAGATCATCATCCAGGAACTATGGATGCTCTCCTGCGATTGGGATGACCCTTTACCACAACCAGTCAAGTCAAAATGGGGAACGTATCAGCAAGAACTGTCGAAGATCTCTGAACACCGTGTTGACAGATATGCTTTCCTTCCAGATTCAGTAATCCAGCTGCACACCTGCAGATGCATCCCAGACCGCTTACGGTGCATGCACGTACGCCCGCTGTGAAGACAGTCAAGGACGAGTGAGGATCCAACTCCTGGTGTCGAAATCCCGTGTAGCACCGTTGAAACGAATCACGATTGCCCGGTTGGAACTGTGTGCAGCTGTGATACAGCACCGACAAACCGACATGAAACTTAAACTTAACTCTTGATCGAGAATCCATAACGGCCGATTCAAATGTGCAACGATCGCATCTGTCAAAACCATAGCAATGTTTTATCTAGATAAAAATAATTTGCTCGAAATAGATTAGACACGAACCAACTCACAAATTTTGTACGTTCGTGGCTAGGGTAAATATTTTCCGCGAACACGGTAGCAGATGGCAGTTTTGTGCTATGATCAGAAATTCCTTTGTAATTTGTATAACCTTTGCGTGCCTAACGTCTAAATTTGCAAAGACTTCAAAATACAATTAGCTCAAAAAACATAATTTCTCCATCTTTTTCTCCATCTGTAAAAATGTGGATCAATACATGGTTTCGGAGCTATTCCGGTTCGTGTTGAAGTCACTTTTGGTCGGCATTCGGTATTACTGTAATAAGTATACACACGATGAATATCATGTTTTTTCTCTCAAATGATGTAATTGGACCAATGGCAGCTATACCGACGGTCCACGGTCACATTGGGCATCCCGGACATGTTCCTGTGTCCCCGGGGAAGTGGCCAATTATCGACAAGAACCAAAACCTATCGTGCGACTTATCTTATAGCACTGCAAATCAAAGTTCATGCTTGTGCCAGCCTTATTTAGAGTCCACATATCTCGATAACCACTGAACCTAATTTGAGTTGATACTAGTTGGGTCAGACCTTGAGTAATTGACATCACATTCTTGCAACATGAAAGCGGCAAGATGATGCTCAATAAAGTCATCAAAAGCACTCTTATTAGTCCGCAAAGGTAATTAAAATGTAATTTAATTGATTAAGAATTGACGCTTAAAATTTCCGTTAATCACACATTACATGAGGAACATGTCCTGGAAGGCCAATGTGATCGTGAACTCTCTATAAGACTATTACCATCTTATAAAATGTTATATATCACACGACGGGTTGTGGTTCTAATCGGGAATTGTCCACTGTCTTGGGGCACCGGAATATGCGCGAGAGCTCCAATGTGATCGTGGACTCTCATTGAAACTAAAACTGACAGAGTTACGTTATGGTGTTTCGCTGTGAGATCCTTATTCTCGTAACCACTTCGGAACTTTGACTGCACAAATATCAGCTTCTAGCAATTTCAGGTGAAATGGGGCATTATTTTCCGATATGTGTGTAATTGTAAATTCGAAGTGGAAGTGCATGTATAGCCTACGTGGTGGCCATTTGTGAACTCCACAAGGAATCACCTTAAATCTTGTGGTTTGATGTATGGCGGGTTATGGTTCAGATCGAGAATTAATAATTTCCTTGTATACACTTGTACATTGCCGGGTGCACTGGGACATTCCCGGGATGGCGAATATAACCATGAACTATCAATTAAACCAGAATAACCGAGATCAGAAAAAATATGAAGCTTGATGTGTCGCACGACAGGTTTTAGTACTATCTAAGAATTAGTCACTTCCCCGGGGGCACCGCAGCAAATCCGGCAAGGTCAATATGACTGTGGGGTTCAATAAGGTCATTACCGGCCGAGTTTTGAAAAACCGTGAATTTTGATATATCGCACGACGGGTTTTGGTTCTTGTCGAAAATTGCCTACTTCTTCGGGGCCTCGGAACATCCCCGAGAGAGCTAGTGTGACCGTTTACTGTCAGAAGGCTATTACCATCCGAGTTTTTTTTTTAATGATGAACTGTGCTGTGTCGCACGACCAGTTTTAGTTCTTGTTGAAAATTTACCACTTCCCCAAGGGTACCGGGGGTGGCCAATGTGAACATGTCATCTCAATAAACCCATTCCCCACCGAGTTAAGAAAAACCATGAAGTTTGAAATCTCGGCAAAAATAAGTTTCACTGAGATTTCAGCAAAAGTGACATTTGATTGCTGAGTCTCGGATAATGCTTAGCTGAATCTCAGCAAACAAATGAAATGTTTTCTGAGATCTCAGTAAAACATTTTTTGCCGAGATTTGCACAGCCGAGTTCGGTAGAAAAAAAAAACTAAGTTTGTACGATGGGTTTTGGTTCTTGTCGAGAATTGGCCACTTTCTGGGGGCACCGTAACATTTCTGAGAGCGGAAAAACATGCCCGTGAGGGCTGGTATGTCCGTGGACTCTCATTAAGACCATTACCGGCCAATACATGTAAAATCATGAAGTTTGATATGTCGCACGATGGGTTTTGGGTCTGTTGAGAATTGGCCACTTCTCCAGGGGCACCGGAACATGTCTGGGAAGGCTAGTGTGACCGTGGACTCTCAATAAGGCCATTGCTGGCCAAAAATTGTCAAATCATGAAGTTTGATATGTCGCATGATGGGTTTTGGTTCTTGTTGATAATTGGCCACTTCCCCGGGTCCACCGGAACATTTCCGGGATGCCCAATGTGATCGTGAACCGTCCACTGGAACATTTCCGGGATACCCAATGTGATCGTGAACCGTCGGTATAGCTGCCATTGGTCCAATTACATCATTTGAGAGAAAAAAAAACATGATGTTCATCGTGTGTATACTTATTAAAGAACAGTAAAGCTGAATGCCGACCATAAGTGACCCCAACGGGAACTGGAATAACTCTGGAACCATGTATTGATCCAAATGTTTTCAGATGAATTCAAAAATTTCAATAGATTTCCGACGAAATGCAGCGTGTTGTGAAGAAAAAGATTCAGAAATTATGTTTTTAGAGCTAATTGAATTATGAAATCTATGCAAATTTAGACGTTAGGCACGCAAAGGATAATCAATCATGTCGGTTTGTCGGTGATAGCAGTGCACACACTACACTACACACTCGCATCAAGAAGGCCATTGTCGTCAACGTTTCTGCATCCTACTTAAGGTCGGATTCCGCAGTCACACTACAATGGCAACGATCACCTCCAAACGTCTGGCCGACCAACGAGGCCATCAGAGTCTCGGAAATCCAACAATACACAAAAGGCTGTCAGTGGAAACATGTCCGTTGTTGTTACCCAAGTGTCATCGACTGTCCACCCATGGTTCCTGCGCTGGTTGTCCTACAGTCGTCTGCTTCACGTCATCGGATACTGCATTCGCTTCGTCGCTAACGTCCGTTCCCGCACACAGCCTTCACCATCAACTGTTCCCGTCAGTCAAGTACTCACCGTAGCAGAAATCAACAAAGCCAAAACGTATCTTACCCGGTTAGCCCAGGAGGATGGAAATGCTGCGGAAATCAAACAGCTGAAGCCCGTTTTTTGATCCAAAGGGAGTGTTGAGAGTGGGAGGTCGTCTTGATTTTGCTCTATTGCCTTACCAATCCAAGCACCCTGCCTTGATTCCCACCAACCATCCGTTCACCCGCCTAATTGTCGAGCATTTCCACCGCAAATTGCTTCGTGGCGGCGGGCGCCTACTGTTGACTGCTATTCGACAGGAATTCTGGCCACCAAGGGGTCGTAGACTAGTACATAGTACAGTAAGAAGTTGCTTCCGTTGTACTTGACTCAATCCCGTACTTTCTCAGCAGCAGATTGGACAATTGCCTGCACAACGAGTCATTGCGAGTCGTTCATTTAGTGTCACGGGTGTTGACTACGCTGGTCCACTGTATCTTCGACCGATCCACAAACGCGCCACCCCTGCTAAAGCTTACCTGTGCCTCTTTGTGGGCAGCCCTACTTTTGCTCAATAAAACAGATGAAATTATCCTTAATAAGTAAAAAAAATCTCCTGAAAATAGATCGGGTTGCTCCTTAAATGATTGATCAAAATACATTAAAAATCTTAAAAGGCTCAGTAAATATTTAAAGTACGCTCCCTAAAATAGAGAAAACTGTACATTAAGCATTTGAAAATGCTCCTTAGTATGCACCCTTTTGCACCATTTTGAAGTATAATTGTACCATATATCATCGGAAAAGCTGCTGTAGAAAGGTTAATAAGTACCATGAAATCAGATGAAATGTTCAGTAAATCATTTTGTGCATTTGTGCATTTTACTGAACATTTCATCTGATTTCATGGTACTTATTAACCTTTCTACAGCAGCTTTTCCGATGATATATGGTACAATTATACTTCAAAATGGTGCAAAAGGGTGCATACTAAGGAGCATTTTCAAATGCTTAATGTACAGTTTTCTCTATTTTAGGGAGCGTACTTTAAATATTTACTGAGCATTTTAAGATTTTTAACGTATTTTGATCAATCATTTAAGGAGCAACCCGATCTATTTTCAGGAGATTTTTTTTACTTATTAAGGAACATCGTCATTGCTTAATGATTCATTTACCTTTTTACCCTCTTTGTGTGCTTCTCAACCAATGCAGTGCACCTGGAATTGATCAGCGACTTGTCCACCCAAGGTTTCTTGTGCTCGCCGTGAACGACCCACACATATCCACTCAGACAATGGGAAGAATTTTGAGGGGGTAAAACATCGGCCGTCGTCGCTTCCGCCTACGATAATTTTCCCTGGAATGTTCTTTACAGTCTCGTCCAGTGTCAACTCTGATTCTTCCTCTTCCTGTGAGGCAATCTTACTCAGATCCGTACCTTCATTTTCGTTTCCGCTATCGCTGCCGGCTGGCGAAGAATCCTTATCGTACGTTCCGGGCACTATCACGTTCGGCACAATAAGCTCCCCTTCGGGACTCTCCTCTTCCTCTTCCTCTTCGACCAGTTGCGCTTCCCTCGATGCTTGTTGTTCCTCTTCCAGCTTCTTAACCAATCGATTATCCTCGCTAGCAGCGGTTGGAACAACCGGAGAAAGCTGCTTGATCTCTTCTTTGATTGGATCTTCCGTGCCAACTTTCGGGTGCTTGGATGGTGAATTTAGCGGTGAGTGTGGTTCTGCTGGAGGTGACTGTTCCCGCTGTTGCTGTGACTCAGACTGCGGATCTTCCGAATCTTTGCGCTTTGTGGTGGGAGAAATAATATCCGTTGGCTTGGCCGTACTCTTCACCGGGGACGTTACGATCTCGACCGGTAGTGAGGCTGCTGTTGGCAATGTAGAACAAGACTTCAGCGGAGATGTTTTCGCACTTAGGACTGGTTGTTTGTTCAGATCTTCATTCGAGACTGTCTGCGAATCTTCACCATTTTTCCGATCAATAACATCGTTTGCTGAATCTACCGCCTCCTTGGGAGGTTCCCCACCCCCCGCCCGTGCAACAGTAATATTACCATCACTCGCCGGTTGTGGCGGTGGTGCTGGCGGCGGCGTCGTTGTCATAATTGTAGTCGTAGTAATCAACGCCAACGGAAGCTGTGGTAGTTGTTGTCTGCTGCTTTCTTCTGGTTGAGTCGCTTCCGCCGCGTCGACCGTGGCTGGTGTTAATGATGCTAATGCTGCTTCTGAGATTATAAGATCAACATCGGCGTCTTGTTCAGTGACGTCATCTTGGGCCGGAGTGGAGGAGGCATCTGTAATTGGTTCCTGCTCAGGATCGGTCATGCTATCTACCTCTGTTGTTCGTTCATCTTTTGGAGTAACTTCACATTCTGCATCATCACTACCTTTGCCGTCACCATCGCCGTCATGGTCATCATTACCATCATCATCATCATCATCATCATCATCATCATCATCAACAACAATCTCGACGGGGCCAACGTACAATGTTTGCACTCCATCATCAAATTGCACTGTGATTTCACTCAGGAATAGATCCAGATCATCCTGTTCCTGTTCACTACTGACACTGACCAGTTTCTTCTGCGAACCCAAATCCGCCCCGTCTCCGGGCAGAAATTCAGTTGTTGTTGTTGATGCCGTCGTCGTCGTCGCCATTAAGCTGGATTTAGACTAGGCAAGTCAAATGATCAACACAGTTGAATTCAATTGGCTTGAAAAGTTGAGCCTGGTTCAACTTTTTTCAATTCAAGTGAGTTGATCAACTCAATTGAATGGCATGGTTTATACGTTCAATTCGCGTTCAAGTTAGTTGAATTCAACTGACTTGATCAATTGACTTGCCCTGTCTAAGCCCAACTTTACGCTCATCTCCCAGTTCCAGCACAACACAGTTAAGGATTTCCGGTTAAGGAAGTCCAAAAAAATATATTCTTGGAGCTATGCTCCACTTTTATTCAATGATCGGTTAAGACTAAATTACAATATCGACTTATGCTACGAAGTTAGTTCTGGGTTAGTATCGAGTGTGGGAGCAATGCGGGTGTTTATTTGTTTCTGCAAACGCTGCTAATGCGTTCTGGTGATTCTCCTGCTGGGTGGTCTGGTGACATCATGCTATCGGTGATCGTCGTGATTCCAATGAAAGTGATCCAATCTAACTATCGTCTGGCTTGGCATACAATTAGCTGATTCGGCTAATCGATGAAAGTGTTTATTGTTTGGGATCTGGTGTGATGGTGGGAATCTGCTAAGTAATGAAGCGGGTCGCGTTGTTACTAACTACACTCTCTCATCCACGTAGAATTTGTTCTCGTTTAAAACACTATTCCTCGAGGCATACGTAAAATTTATAACATAAAATCACAACGAACGGGTACATTTCAACAAACATCACAAACTGAGACTGAACTCCGCGCCACCGGAAGCTTTCTGGAGGGATAAAATCAAAAAACAGCGAACCCAAAAAATACTCAATATACACACTAAAAAATTCCGTGAATCCGTTCTCTAAATAAAAATTCTAATGTTTCGATCACCCTGGGGTTTCCCAAAGCTTTGCGAACATCCGCAAGTTCTTATGGTTATGGAAGTTCCACGAGAACGATCCACGATTATATGAAAGCAGATATTGCCATAAAGGACACTACCACAGGACGTAAGTTATAACAATGTTCCTGCAGGTCAAGCAATTGTAATATGACCATGATTTATCATTTCTTTTAGGCTTCTTATTGATCACTCTCCCGTCCCAAATTCTGTCAAGCTTTTCATAGAACTTACTTCAAAATACCCAGCGTTGTCCATTATCGCGCTCGCTATGAGTGAGCACTCAGCGATGATAAAATCGCTAATTGTCAACCTTTGGAAAGCGAAATTGACAGGTTTCTTGTGTAAACACAAACTTTACACCCCCTTCTTGCATCTTACAAATACAAATTATCATTATAATATTTCATAGTTCCATAATTCCGAAAAATAGTATTTAAGCTGAAATGAGTATTTGCAAGCTGGGCTTTAAGCCCGCCTGTCAATGTTAATATCGCTGGTAAACCCTTACCCTTATGCCACCAGCGGCATTTTGCGAGCCTGTGCATGCCACCGGACGAGAGGTTAGCAGAATCATACGAAACAGTAGATTGCCAGGTAGGCTAGCAGGGCATCAACAGTCTTGTCGGCCTACGGTGCATCTTAATCCGCTGTAGGTTTCTTGCTCCTGCTACTATTAATATAGGCTTCACCCGCGTACCGAAGAGCTCGGATTGCACGCGAGCTATTTCTGCTTTTTGATAGACATCCACCCACGAAGGATTGATGTGTCTGGAAAAAGGATGCAGATAATTGAATATCGCCTGGAAAATCTAGTCACTACCACCACCGTCGCTCGTCGGTTAACGCAGCGAAAGCGAAAATCCTTTTGTTCATCACAGAGTGACAGATCCCGGCGAAAAGGATTAAATTTCCGTCCGACCCGAATCGCAGTGTGCTGCTGCTGCTGCTGCTGCTGCAGATGATGATGATGATGATGATGACAATGACGGAGGAGGCACTATCAACAGCAACATCTCTATAATTATGGGATGCTGCAGTAGGATGTTGCAGACCCGGAGCACAAAGATGGTGGTGGGATCGACGAAACCGGTCAGGTTTCCAGAATCCGACAATTTATGCGCACGGGCATCGTTGTTCGGTGCTTTCCATCATTGTCGACGGTCGCCGTCGGGAAGGGAGCAAAGACCATTCTCCAAATGGTTCAGAATTCCGCCGTTATCGACAAGAATGGAAATTTAATTCCATAAGCTGGTTAATACCATTATGCACACATACAAGCCAGAGACAGCCCCAGCGAGAGATGTTCGGATGCTCGGATTACAGAGCTACGCGCAAAGCGTCATTGTGCGGATAGAAAGGAATGGAGTGATGGTGCTGACATTTTCAAGAGGATTTACAATGTAGAAAAGCTATTCCTTTCATAGAAACTCTGTTCTTTCCTGCCACAGTGGAACATCTGAACGACTTGCTATCGATAGCATTGAAATCAGAGCGAGCATGGTGATGGAATGGATCTATTTCCATTTTTCCCCCTCAAGGAAAGAGATTTTTTTTGCCATCCAACTTGACTTTGTATGTGGTGTTTGAAGCTCACTTGGTGTAATTGGGATAATTTGTTTTCGTATCCACGATGGACCGATGCCACTTTTACTCGCAAATGATGATCTATAATCCAGGCGATGAATTGCACAGTTTGGTGAAGGAGGAAGTTTATCTCGGTAGACTATGTTGGAGTTGCTGTGGTTCCTTTACTGAAAGGTTTAGATGTGATATAACGTCTCCCATCTGAACGATTTCAAACAGGGCCAAACCACATTAACTTTTCGGACGATGTTCACACGGCAGAGCAAAGGCTTCGATTACTTGAATGTCGGTTGGTGCGGTGCATGGAGTAGTATGAAGACGTGAATAAACTGCTATTGAAATGCTCGGCTCGTACTTCAATAAAGTGCCATGCTTACCTCATCACGGCCAAAGAGATCGACCCAAATTTGGGTTCAGTTTACGTTTCAGTTTCTGTTTCAGAAAAAGTTCCCGAATATGAGTACTAGGTACTACTAGACTAAGAAAAAATTTCGTCAATTTTTCTCATATTCCGTCTATTCCGTATGTCCCTCTCTAGTGGCATATTTCCATCCTCCTGGAAATTTGCCCACATGTTTCCTGTCCACAAAAAGGGAAGCAAACGAGCCGTGGATAACTATCGTGGAATTACATCGCTGAGTGCTGTTTCGAAACTATTCGTGCTTGTTATTATGGAACCGTTGCTCTCTCACAGCAAGCATTATCTGAGTGCTGATCAACACGGGCTTACTGGCGGTCACTCTACAACCACCAATCTGCTATGCCTCACATCCTACATTACCGATAGTATGACTGAACGGGTACAGACGGACGTTGTATATACCGATCTATACGCGGCATTCGATAAGTTGAATCATGACATTGCGATTGCTAAACTCGACAGGCTTGGGGTGAGCGGTAATCTCTTGAGTTGGTTCCGTTCGTATCTTACTGGTCACCATGTAAGATATGGTTGCTATAGGAGATTGCAAATCAGCTAGCTTCTTTTCCACATCAGGTATACCGCAGGGAAGCCATCTGGGACCGTTGATTTTTCTACTCTACTTCAACGACGTGAATCTGGTTATCGAAGGACCTCGATTATCATATGCAGACGACCTCAAAATATTTTTACGAATTTGCTCGATCGCTGACTGCCACAATCTTCAACATCAGCTTAATGTCTTCGCCAGTTGGTGTACTTTAAATCACATGGTAGTGAACCCAGCAAAGTGCTCTGCCATAACGTTCTCACGAAAAAAGAAACCGATTGTATTCAGCTATGACCTGCTTGGATCGACACTCGAACACGTGAATCAGGTGAAAGACCTGGGTGTGGTGTTGGATTCACAGCTAACATTCAGGCAACACATTTCTTATGTCATCTATAAGTCGCTTAGGACTTTAGGATTCATCTTCAGGATAGCTAAGAATTTCACCGATGTCTACTGCTTAAAATCTCTATACTGCTCCCTCGTTCGATCGACGCATGAGTATTGTTCTGCGGTTTGGAATCCGAATTACAACAATGGTGCCGAGAGAATCGAATCTGTTCAACGTCGCTTTCTTCGTTTTGCGCTTCGTAGACTGCCCTGGAGAGATCCGCTTCGGCTGCCCAGCTACGAGAGTCGCTGCCAACTGATAAACCTTGAACCTCTCCGGATTAGAAGGGACATCAGCCGAGCTTTGATTATCGCCGACACTCTACGGGGACGAATAGATTGTGAGGCTATCCTGAGGCAAATTGACCTAAACGTGCAACCCCGACCACTCCGTAACAACCTCCTGCTGAGACTGCCACTGCGTCGCACGAACTATGGGGCATATGGTGCGATTTGCGGATTACAGCGTGTGTTCAACAGAGTCGCATCTGTATTCGACTTTCTCCTCACACGTGATGCGCTTCGTCTGAGATTCTCATCTGTTTTCGCCGGCCGCAATGACTGACCGAGAAAATTAGTGTATTTCCATTTATGTTTTTTACATTCTGACCAAGTAGCTTTGTTTTTCTTTCTGTGATTATTTGAGATGTAATTTTACTATTATTATTATTATGATTAGTATTATTAACATCATTTGGGCTACAGCCAGCCTGTTGATGTATGGCAACAATAAACAATTTTCCGGAAGATTGTTGAGGTTTTCCACAGAAAAATATGAGACAAATTTACTCATCGGTGAGTTCCAGCACTTTTTTGCGAATTGTAAGTACACTGAAGTCTTTTTTTACATGGTTTTTACGCGGTTTTTACGCGGTTTTTCGCGATTTACACGGTACGTTTTTAACGATTTCTTGACAATGATACAACCTATCGACTTGATTCCAATCGCACTATGTGTTTTAAGCTATAGGTAATCGAATGGCATACTTCAAAAAATCCCAATTTTTGGTGCAAATACAGAAATTTTAAAAATATGTCTATATGGACCATAGCACGCTATAATTACAAATGGCATCAAAATCCGATTTGAAGCATATGAAAAATCAAAATTTAGGAAGGTTTGTTTACACGGTACACATTCCCCGTGTAAAAAAAGACCTG